TATATAATATTTATAGTTTAAACTTCATTTAAATTCATCAAGAATTCATAGAGTTATAAGCATAAATATCAGTTAAGCAAAAGTTGAGCGTTACAGTGGTATGAGCGTTGCGGTGGCAGCCACACGCTGCGCGCGGGCTTGTAGGGGGTGCACCCCCCTGCGAGTGGGGGCCCCAGGGGCTCCACCCATTGGGCCACGGCTACTATGCGAGGCCTCCGCACGAAAGGAACTACACCATAAAGAGCAGGCGCTTTGGTGTTGCGTACAGTGGCCGAAGCTAGGGCCCAGAGATCTTGAGTTTTGTTTGCGTTGTTTGAGTTGTTTAAGTTGTTTAAGTAAACTGAAACAGTGGTAACAGCTGTATATATCTAACTTTTATAACACTCTTACAAATGGGTAGTGCTATAATAGCGGGACTGAGAGTCCTACAAGAGCGAGGCTTTGACATATCTCAAGCATTGTTCGGGTTTCACAAAGCTTGACAGGCACAGGTCTGCGGAAAGCGGTGAGCCATGCATGCTAGCATACAGTTATCCATCATCCTTATCGGAGAATGTAAAATAAAAATTATTAGGTTAGGTACCCTTCGTATTCATGTCCTTCACCGAGTCATTCTGTGCCTCCACACCTCTTTCATCCTTCGGGGCCAAGGTTGATTAGGAATATAGGGAGAAAAACGCGTATAGCATTGTATCCCCCGTGTGTCAATGATTGGTGAGCATCCTAATTAGGACTAAGGGGATAAGTCAGCGGTGAGGCTGGTGTCTATCCTGTAGTGTCGCATAAGTGCACATGCCGTAGTGACCATCCCTCCATCAGTGTACTCAGTACAGGTTCTTCAGACTATCACAGGGTCAATGCTTATGCAAGTTGACACGTCAGAAAAGGACATTGGAAGACGTGACGTGTCTTGATAAGATCGCAGTGAGATAAGTTCCTGATTCAGTGTAACAGTCTAATCACACATCTCACTTTCATTGGCAACAGCCTTAAAGCCGATATCACCGTTTGTGTCAATTTTAAGCCACCAACTTTTTGTCCAGTGTCATCCTACAAATGCTCATCTATGATGTCAGGAGGGCAGGGTTATCCCTGTGTCACTGAATGGGCAACATTTCCCTGTAGATATAGTGTTCCTATGAGCCTACATGAATCAGATGCCTGGCATTGCTGTGATAGTGCTAATTCGAAAGTAATAGGTTCATGTTTCAAGAAAGATTCTCCACTAAATGACTCGTGAGAAGTCTACCTACTGAAAAAAGACCTCTCTTGCTGCTCAGACTAGCTTCACTCAACTAGAGCTACCGAACGTGTCGTCTGGTTTCCATCTCCTTCTCAATTTCCTTCTCCAAGCGACAATCCATGCCTCAGTCAATCTCTACTCACAGGCCTCAGCCAACACATCAATGGTGGCTTGACCCAAAAACCCCAGACCTTCTGTCCATCCCTCCAACTCTTGCCATTTCCCATTCCCATTCCCTTCCCGCTCCCTCCCCCACCCGGAACCAACTCTAAATCAAACCTCCACAGCAGCTTCGCCATTATCAGCCTCATCTCCGCTCGTGCTAGATTCTTTCCCAAACAATTCCGTGGACCGAATGAGAACGGCTGCACCGCCGCCCTGTTGTCCTTGTCAAACGGCGGAACATCTTTGCATTCCGGAAGCCAGCGCTCGGGGAGAAACTCGTCTGGGCGGTGGAAATTAGCCGGGTGGCGGAAGCAAGAGAAGTGGTGGACACCGACAGTGGTGCCGGTGGGTACATGGATGCCATCAATGGTCTCGCCTGGGGCGGGCACGACACGGGGGAGGGTGCCGGCGACGGGCGGGTAGAGACGGAGAGATTCGGAAATGACGGCTTCGAGGTATTTGAGGTCGTTGGTGCTGGCGATTGTGATCTCTTCTTCGGACGTGAAAGAGGTGCGAATTTCGTGGATGAGTTCTGAGTAGGCGGATGAGCGGGTGAGGATGTGGTATGTTATTCCGGAAAGAGCAGTCGCACTTGATTCTGAGCCGGCGATGTTGAAGGAAAATGAATTTACATGGATCTCTGCCCTGCTCATGCCTTTCTCGTCGTTGGCGGCGAGGATATAGTAGAGGAAGTCTTTTCGGTCAGTGTCCCGTTGGATTCGTCGCTCCACGGTGTCGATTGCGCGTTTCATGTTCTGAGCGCGCTGGCCGGCCACAGCTTTGGGCAAGAAGAATTGCCGGACGCCCGCCACGCCGAAGTAGATTAGCATTTGGGTGAAGGTGAGCTCTTTTGCTATCCTCTCCGTTGCGCGGACGAAGGGGACGTAATCACCCTTGTCAAGGCACCCGAACTTTTCGCCAGACGACAGGTCTCCTATCAGGTCGAAGGCTACGATGCGAGATTAGCGACAATATTCGTGACTGATATTGCTGCAAATACTTACTTGTGAAATTGTACCATGCGACCATGTTCAGCGGTCCTGCAGTATATCTCAAAGATAGCTGTTCCAACAGCTTGCTCACATATGTTTGTAAAATACCTTCTTGCTCCCTAAGTGCTTTTTCAGAAAATGCATGGGAAAGCAGTCGTCTTTGGCGAATATGCGTCTGGCGGTCGGCCACCAGGATATCTTTTACGCAAATGTCAGTTCCATAACCTTTTTAGGAGGCGTAAAACCAAGATGCATTTGCCTACTACACTTGCGTTCGACAAAACGTCTAAGACGGCCATCCTCAGCAGGACACTTCCCATTATGATTGAAGTTAGAATGAGAATTACACGGGTTTCTGTGCTTAAGTTTCCCATTCCAAGTAAAGAAAAATTCAACTGACTCTGTGCTCCAGTAGGAGTGTGAAGGCGAAAAACAGGATCCTTGTCCATCTCCACGGATCTGTGTCCATATATCGTCTTCCATGCCGTGTCTGAGGTGAAGGAGAGTTCGTAAGGAGCGATACGGACAGTGTGACCGTACTTGACATGAAGCTCCAATAAACGCTCGTGTAGGATGCCTTGGTACTGATACCAACACCATGGTACGCGAGTTGCGGCCCAGAGCTTTGGTCCAGGGTGATTTCTGAGCGGATGAAGGAAAATGTTATAAAGGATATGAGCGATCGCCCATAGAATTAGCTGAAAGTGGCTGTCAGTATTCTATAATTGAAATTTGGAAGGCTTGTCCAGTACGAGAACAGAGCAGGCCGTCACAGCGACCACAGGATATTCGGCTGCGCTATAGCTCCAGCTACCTCGCCCTCGAAGATCTGCAGCAGAATCCATTGGGCAGTGATGACGACGTTTCTTTCACAACAGCATCAGCACCATATGTATTTGGGTCTTTTCTTGTGTGGTTGTAGCACGAGAGAGATAGAGAAACTTCAAACCAGACGACGTCTATATTTTGAAAGCGCCATTGGTGCCGGTACTTAGTGCACTGAGCAGGTGACCCAAGCGGCAAGCATCTTCAACTGCAACCTCCAAAACAACAATATCATAGCCCAAGCAGGAGTATTTTGGATATGACCCTTGGGTAAGCAGTTAATGCAGCCTGTCTCTGTGCTCTGCGGGACATGACAGGAACTCGGGAGCCGAGTGAGCTATGAAGCAGTCCTTCGTGTCCGCCTAATGTATCCCGGCGAGAGCCAGACGGGGGTTGTGCTTGTTCCGTCCTGCTTCCGTATCACGGTGTCTATGTAGTAGCTGTGTGCCTTCGCTCGGTCGCCGTTGTCGAGCATGGCAAGGTGTAGTGCACGGTGGGAGGATGATATGTGCTCCCAATGCCCTTTGGATGTATGTGTCAGTATGCGAGCTTTCTGTCATGTCAGAAAGGTGATGTTGCTGATGGAGAAGTGATCAATATGAAGCTCAGTAGATCAAAGGTTGTATTTCTTTAGAATGGAGGCGCTCTCTAGCAGGTTGAATTTTACTATAGGGAAGGCGAGTACATTTCTCTTGGTGGGGTGGCTTGGGGCCCTTTGGGCTCAATAGGCAAAGATACCATTCGCTTTCAAAGCAGTCCCCCACAGTTCCAATCCACCCTTGGGTGGCGGGGCCTCCAGGCCTCCTTCTGGGTGGCTCTCCACTCCATGTTGACAATCATCCCTTCTTATTAGAGGTGGATGTTAGGTGCTCAACGCCTAGAATGATGGCACAATTAACCACTTAGCCTCCACCGCCTCTTACCCTGTCAGCTTTTAACAAATCAGCTTCCAACAAATCGGAATTACAATCAAGCAAATGATTGAAGCATGCCATCAAGAACCTCACTATCATCTAACTAGTGGACGTATTGCCATAGCGATTGTAGATTTTTTCTTTCATGTGAATAATGTTGATATCCTAAACGAAATCTATAACTTAAATGAACCTCTAAACAATCTGCCATCCTGTAATGTAAAACTAAGCCCTCAATGCTTGCCTCACTCCATTGCACGTGCGATGAAAGCACCGAGCTCTTGAATTTTCGGACCAGGCGCCACCATCGAAAAATGATTGACCTCGTCCAACACTTGGATCTTCAGGTTCTCCTTCCCAACCAAGTCATCCCAGCCCCTGCCACTGAAATCAGTGCGATTGTTGAGAAGCCAGAGCATCTCCCGAGGATCATCGGGGCGAATCTCCGGTCGAGGATCACTGGGATGTTTGCAAATTCCATCACGAGCGTAGATTAGGTGAGTCTCAAGCCGTGGACCTGAAAAAGGTTTCACCTTGTAATGATCCAGCGTGCTGATGAAGGCATTGAAATGGGGCCGTAGCCAGCTTGGAGCCGCCTTGCCATTCATGCCGAAAAAGTCCAAGCTTTCAAAGAAGTCGTACATGCGCTGAGGCGGATTCTCCAAGCCGACTGGATTTGGTGAATCAATCAATATCAGTCGTCTAGTCTCTTCACCCTGGCTGGCCAGCTGTTGCGCAGCTTCAAATGCGCATATTCCTCCCGCCGACCAACCACCAAAGTAATAAGGGCCTTTTGGCTGCCGACGGCGGATCTCGATAATATATTTGCTTGTCAGGTGTTCCAAGGAGCATTTCATATCCTGTGGTGTCTTCATCCAGGGACAGTTCAAGCCATACACCACGATCTCGGGCGAGAGTTTAGGAATTGAAGCGTACGAGGTAGCTGATCCAGAACCATCTGGAAAGAGGAATATTGTCTTTGTGGCATTCTTGGGATTCCCTTGGAGCTTGACTGATGTGGCGTGAGGAGGCATCTCGGGGTCGAACGGGTCCGCTCTTGGAGAAGTAGCCACAGGATTTCGGTTGAGGTCTGGTCCCTTCAGCTTCAGGCTCAATGCCTTTTCGATCTCGGACAGATTGTCGTTATCGGCAAGAAGTGTTTGCGGAAGATCCGTTTCTAAGACTTCACCAAGCTTTCCCATGATCGTGAGCGCTAGCAGAGAATCTACACCAAGCTCTGAGAAACTCGTCGAAGGTGTCAAGTCCTCAAGAGAGACACCAGTCTCTGCAGCGATCGTGGCGCGGATGATTTCCATCACGCTTTGGCCGTCTGTAACTGATGTTGCGTCTGTTTCGTAGTCTTCCGGCGTAGCTTCCGAAAGGGTTTCTTGCTCTGGATTTGAGACTGGCGTCGAGTTGCCGGAAGGACTTGACAACAAGGGCCTGTTGTTGCTACTATCAAGGAACACTGTAAATTCCTTCACAGTAGGCTGGTCCACAAAGAGTGAAGAGGGTAGATCGAGTCCGAGCTCTTCTTGTATTCTCCCAGTTATGGTGAGGGACAACAATGAGTCAATGCCATAATCGGCAAATTCGCTGCTTGGTCCAAGCTCGGCCGCGTCGAGGCCAGCCTCCTCTGCAATGATTGCCAATACTAGGGGCACAATGCTATTCGTCGGTGACGCTTTGGTATGCTTTGTATTGGAGTTTGGTGGTGATATTGCTTGTTTGGGGAGCGGAGTAGCCGTGGCTGTGCGAGTTGATTTTGGAAGCGGATTGGCTGTGGCCATCGGCACCGGTTTTGATTGCGTTGAAGAACGCGATTTAGTCACTGCGGGTCCTGCTGCTCCAGACTTTGGAGGCAATACCTGGTTCAGGACTTGGCGCGGTATTCCAGCGAACTGCATTTATTTGGTCAATAATCCCCCACCGAAAAAGCTAGTTAGTACATACCTTGACACCTTCAATGACAGCAACAACGTTGTCGTCCTCAAGAATATACGTATCGCCCGCGTATAATGATCCACTCACAAGCTGCATTTTGTTGTAGCTTCGGTAAGTCTTGCCCTTCCTGAACTTCGTCGCGCATCGCATGGTATCCCAGCCATGATTGATAAACACCTGGTCCTTCGAGTGAACATTGTCATTTCCATTCATGATGAACCCAGCGATATGCCCAAGGCCGTCAATCCAACAAGGGTTGAAGTTGAATCCTTCATCATCAACCTGGAATGACACCTGTGCGGTAGCTTCGAGCTCGTTGCTATCGAGTACGACCTCTTGCATGGCTTGATATCTTGCATCATAGTCCACAATGGAAGAGAACAGCTTGTAGACCATGCCACGCTTGATCTGGTGCGAATCGCCTCCATCGACTCCTTTGTAAAGTGATGTGACTCTGCTCTTGATGAGATACGAGCTGCGCTTCCACTCTTGAAACCATGACTGCTTTTCAGTGATCCGGACCTGGCATTTCGCGTGATCGGCTAACTTTCTGCCCTGTGCGTTAATGCTGTAGAGGGCAAGTGAAACGACTTTGGTTGACCAATTTGCGGACGCCGAAATACGAAGTAGTTGTGTCACAGCGTTAGAATCAGCTATAAGCGATTTGTCGACCTTCACGTCGCCCACGTCAAGGCCAGTAGTATCATTTTGCATATCGTTTGTCTTCAGCATGTAATCAACGACCGTCAGGGCGATGTCGGCATACAGAGACTAAAAGAGTTAGTAGTGGCTAAATTGCTGTCAGGAAAGCAACTTACTGAAGGACATAGAGCTGTACCATTCACGTTGTGGCCTTGGAAGATGGGAGCAAGTCGCGGATCGTGTATGTCTGATTCGGCGAGAAGAGTTGACACATCAGCTGCATTGTGCTCCTCAAGAATACGTTGAACAGAGGGTGAAATATAGAGAGGCACAGGCTTCTGCTCAACAGCAGGAGCAGCACCAATTTCTTTTTGTGGTGGTGGATCGTCCCCTTTGGTGAGGCAGAAGTCATTCCTGTACTGGATCCAATAATTCTTCAAATCCCAACAGTACCTTGGAAGCTCTAGAACCTTATGCGAGCTCTCAAAGTCTCGGTGATATTCATTCCAATCGATCTCAATGCCGCTGAGATAAAGTGATTCGAGCCCGCTGGCTAGCACTTTCCACGTGTCTGTAGCTTTTTTAAGAGACGGTATTGTCAAGGCATGTGTGCCCAGCGTTCCCTTGATCATGCCAGAACAAGCTGGATGCGATCCAATTTCCAACCAGACTGACTTCTCGTTGACAACAGATGAAGCTTTCGCAGCCTGAAGAGCACCTTGGAAGTTTACTGCATTGCGGCATGCTCGAGCAAGGTATGATGGTCCTAACACATCACCATCTGAGATAATGCGGCCCAGCAAAGGCGACATGTAGGGAATTGAAGGGGCATGGAACTGGACGCCGTTGGCTGCCCTCTCGAATAGCTCCAAGATAGGCTCAACTTGTGCTGAATGAAAAGCGAACGGTATGTCTAGCTCGATACATTCGAAACCGTCTGATTGATATTCCCTCATTAAGCGGCTGATTTCTTCGCTGGGTCCGCTGATCACATTGCTGGCAGGCTGGTTGAAACAAGCGACTTCGCAGACGGAGGCGCTTAGACGGGGTTTGATGGAGTCGAGAGATGCTTTGATGGCCAGCATAGTATGTGTTCCTTTATTGCAATGCTTCGATAGCAACTGTGCTCTGGTACCAACAAGGTGAATGGCGTCGCTGGCTGTCACGACCCCAGCCGCATAGAGGGCGGCGTATTCTCCCAGGCTGTGGCCAGTTGTCAAACTCGGAACCACACCCCAAGAGATCCAGAGGCGAGAAAGCGCCATTTGCACGCATGTCACTGCCAAATGGGAAACCACTGGCTCTAGCTCACCAACATTGGCGACGCTACCATCGACCACAGGCAAAAAGCTTGGGAAACCTTGCCGCTGAGCTATGTTGTCGAACCGAAGAATATCAGCTCTGAAATGCGAGACCGTCTCGAATAGCTGTTTGCCAACACCTGCATACAGACAGCCTTGACCTGTGAAGACGAAGGCCACCTTCGGAAGCTTGGTTACATTTGGAATAGGCTTGATGTCGGAACTGCTGGCTTTCTGCCTGAGAGCGTCCCGAATGGATTCGATGTCTGACCCTGAGCAGATGGTGCGGTAATTGTGGTGAATTCGTCGTGCCGTAGTAGTGTATGATAATGATGGAAGCGAGGTGCTCGGGTTCTTCTCAAGAAAGGTGATCAAGGACTCGATATTTTGTTTCAGAGACTGTACACTCTTTGCAGTCACTATGACGGGATGTACTGAGCGAGTCTCTATTGCTGTGTTTTCTGATTGAGGTAACGGAGCGTCTTCTAGGAGCACGGCTGTGTTACCTCCAGCGGCGCTGAAATTGTTCAGAAAACATGTGCGCTTCCCACCGACGCAATCAGTTCGATGCCAAGGGACAGTTTTCAACGCAATGTTGACATTGCGCTCTTTGAGATCAAGAGGATAGTTACGGTTGATCTTAGTTTTGATTCCGCAATGCGGTGGTATCTGGTTGTTCTTCATCATCATCAGGACCTTGATCAAAGCAGAAACACCACTGGCTGCCTCTGCGTGACCAACGTTGGCTTTCGCGGACCCAAGATATAGCGGGTGGTGTGGCATTCGCTCGCGACCAGGCACGAAAACTGATAGAACTGAATTCATCTCAGTAGCATCTCCTGCTTGGGTTCCAGTTCCATGCATTTCTATGTAGCTAACATCCAGTGGATTGACGTTGGAATTCCTCATGATCCGGTTAAAGACGGAAGCTTGGTCGCCCTCGTGAGGTCTTGTGATGGATTCTGTTTGACCACAATGATTTGTAAAAGCTCCATCGATGACCCCAAAGATTGGATCGTTGTCCGCTTGCGCATCTTCGAGCCTCTTGAGAATGACGGACCCCACGGCGTCTGCTCTGCAGTAGCCGCTAGCACCGTCATCAAAGGCATTACAGTTTCCTACCCGGGAAGGTGTCAGCACCTCATCTAAATGAACAAGTTTAAAAGGGACACGTACCTGTGGTCGATAGGAAGTGTCCACGATCAAGGCCAGCAAAGTTGTCAGGATTGGTGAGTACATTGGTTCCTCCGGCAACTGCAGTATCACATTCTCCTCTCCATAAATAGTTACACGCCGTTTGGATTGCAGCGAAGCTTGAGGAACATGCTGTATCGATACTCAGGCTTGGACCAGAAAATCTAAAGAAGTAGCTGTTTCGATGTCAGCAAGTCTGATTCGTGTGGAAATCATAGTTGACTTACCTTATGCGTCCGGGGACAAATGCACGGTTTCCGCCAGGGATAAAATATGTGTCGATGTTTTGGCCGCTATTGACCTCTCGCCAATCATCACTAGTCACCCCAAAAAAGACACCAATGCGGTCTTGTTGTGTGGAAGGTGTCCTGTTAGGGACCAATCCTGCCATTTCTATAGCCTCGTATGTTGTCGTGATGGCTAACCTCTGAGCTGGATCTGTGTTTTGAGATTCTCTGGGGGACATGTTGAAAAATCGAGCATCAAATAATCCTGGCTCATTGATGAAGCATCCATACTGAACCCTGCTTGTGTTCTTTACCTTACCTGCTGCATCGAAGTGAGTTTTCCAGTTGAAGCGATCTTCAGGAATTGTGCGATGGACGTCTCGTCCTGCACTTAGCAGCTCCCAAAATTCCTCATTCGATGCAGCTTCCGGGAAACGACCTGAAAACCCAGTGATGGCTATCTTTGACTGCTCGAATTTACCAGTAGGCCTGGCAGGCTGGGAGTCCGAGACGCCGAGATTCAACAAATTGGTCGTTGTGACATTGATTTTTGTGGCGCGCGTTATTGCTGAAGAGAGGAGGTGAGCAGCATTAGACAATACGGGTGATATTGTGCATTCTTTGAAGGACTTCTGCTGGAAGACATCTTCCACGAGCGACCGGAGGATGTTGTCCCATCGAACCTGCTCGCACAGAGTGTCTGACACAACCGTATGCAGCAGGGTCTTGAAGTCCTCAGCGACGATAGGTTTGCCGGAAGCAGCAGATAACAGAGGAATTCGCGGCTTGTATGAACCAAGCAATTCATCAGGGAAGTAGCTAATTATCTCATTAACCTCATAAGACCCAAACAGGGAAGGAGCATGGAACGGCGACTCGTTCGGTAGGCAATACGAGTTCAAAGAAACTGAAGCCAGAAAGTTGTGTAGAATGCTTGGAGGCCCACTGATTGTTATACTGTTTGGCGAAACGGCGCTTAGAAAAAGCCTGGAGCTTCCAGATAGAGTCTGCTACGGTTAGTCAGGCGAACTTCCGAAACCATATCACGACGCACGTTTTTTGAGTTGAAACTCTGCAGAAGTTCAGCGGCCTGTGCTTCTGAAGCACTCACAATCGCGGACCAAGATCGAGGTATTCGACTGCTCGGCCGCTCTATATCATTTCGAAGCTCCAGCGAGCACAGACCGGTCCTGAAGGCTGCAAGAACGGCTTCGATTCCTGCGGGAATCAACTCTGAAAGTGTTCGAGAGGTACTGATTGCAGCGGCAGCAAACGAGCCAGTGCACAGTGCCACAAGATAGGTGTTGGCATCGCTAGGATAAGGTCTGGATCCTTCTCCAAAATATCTGAGCATCGGACAGTTAGCTCAACGCTAATTAAACTTTTCTGGAGTGCAGCTAGTACCTAATGAATTGACCAATCTCACAGAGACAGTGGAGAGCGAAACTCAAGGCTGGCTTTCCTTCTGTCTCACCCAAATTTGCAAGAAGATCGGTAATGGTGGTAAAGCGAGGAAGCAAGGCTTGCTGACGAGCAGGGAGTTTCCCAAATTCCGTACGAAAGGCAGCACTGACTTTCTCGAAGAAGGAATGTAAGGTAGCATTATCTTTGACATGAAGAAGTCGACGAAGGTCTTGCTCGAAAGATGTGGTTAGATCCCCAAAGAGGAATAGTTGGCACGAAGCTTGCGTGGACCCTACTAGTATAGGAGGCATGGAGGGGTTTGGCTGGACTGAATCATCCATTGTTGAATGAACTTCAGGACTCACAATGTAAGCATAGATTTGAAGAGATGGATACAAAGAGCATGTATCACTTCATATATCTTGCAAAAATTGCCTTCCCAGAGGCGATCTTGTGAAATGTATGTCATCTCTATAGGATGGACCCACGCAGCCCTCGTATCCCCCGGGACATAACAGGTCTGAGAATTCGGTCGCATTGCTTCCGTCTCTTACAACCTCAGTACCGTTGATTGTCAGGCTGACAGATTAACCATTATATTCGTACATCAACGTCGAAGCTGTCAGGCACAAGCTAGTTCACGGTTGTCCGAGGGCCGCGGCATAAGCCCGGTCGACGCGCCCGCAGCATCAGAGACTCTCTAGCAGACCCAATTGGCTAGATTCTGAGCTCTTATCCCTGTGCTCGTCTCCAGTTAGACCCCAGTACGTCACGGATCCGTCAGTACAATTCGGATATCGAATTGATGGTGCATACGTACTTGATGATATAATGACGACTACCCAGAAGACTTCTGTAGGGTCAGAAAGTTGTAGTGTAATGGTTGGACAAGGGAGTGTGGGGAGGAGGTGGGTGACACAACTACGGAGTTTCCACAGTATTATACAGGAACTAAACAAGGAACGATTACAGTAGGGAGATAAAACTGTCGGTAATTTATCTAGAAAAGATGTAGAAGATAAAAACAAAAGGTTATATAATCATTCAAGTTAAATTAAGCGATTGAAATAATGTATTCTACTAAGTATTATAATAATCTATTATGTCTTTAGATATTACTTCTATCTAATACTAGGTAGTTATAGATTTTCTAAAAATTTACTAGAAAGAAAGTCTTATCTTACGTAACTTCAGTCCACAATTACGTACATCCAACTTATGTTTCTAGAACCTTTCTGGACAAAAAGTTACCAAGAGGTGTGACACATAGGCTAGTTTACGGTTGTCCTGAGCCCTCGTCCTTTTGGTCCAACAAAAAGATTTTTGATACTAATGACCATTTACCAATCTTGGCGGCTTCAACGTGTTTGGAAGGATGTTCTATGGGACCTCGTGTTTGGTATTGAACTACGGGGTCATAGAAGCGGTCATGATATCAGTGGCCATTGGAACAATCATCCGGGCGCGCAGCGTGTCCTTGGGACAATGGAAACATCCGGGCATGCATTACCTGTCAAATTGTTGTGAACGGACGACTGATGGGACAATGCATCCGGTGCACGTATGGATGTGACCCAGACGAAAGAGTCGGCCTTCGGATGCCGTCTAATAGAGGATCATTGGCATCCTCCACCCAAGCAGCACGTTTCTTGACGGGCTTTTCTGGATCATATTACTTAGTTGCTTCTCTTATTCCCAGCAGCTATTGAACATGTCCCTGTAATACGAAGGGCATTCGTCAATCGTGATGTGAGTCTCACCAGAAGCGATACTATCGATATCAATGTTTCCAATGCCTATTTAGTATATTTGCATTGCAGGGTAGTAGCATGATGTAATTAGAACTTGGTAGCATCCCAGTGCAGGATGTGTATGGTATGTAGTGTGAGTACTCAACCTTTGACACAACGTGTGTATAGGCAACTTTACTGTCACTGATGAACATGTAATTGAGGTTGTAGAGCTGACAAAGAGCTTAGCGTGTCTTCTCACACAGGATTCTAAAACAACGCGAAAGATTAATTAAGCGCGCGCCTCCAGCCTCTTTTTTCCGTAGGACGTAAGTTCCGTGAAAGTTTGCCCGTACTCCGCTGACAGGGCTATTCTCCACCCAGATTATTTAAAGTTGACTCGATACTTGTGGTCTGCCAGAGCAATAGCATTCTTAACGGTAAAGGCCAGTAGTGTTTTGTAATACTTGGCCTCCACCGAAACCACATTCAATGTCCATTTATCGAGACTCCATTCTCAATTGCTCCACCGTGCCTGCTTGGAATATGACTCTCGAACCAGCCAGTCACTATTGTAGTCCTCTTGCCATCAGCGAAGTTCTCATGATCAGGCACCACCATCTTCTTGTAATGGGGGTCCTCTTTGACGTTGATGAAGTCCTGAACGTCCCGGAATACAATCTGGACGAAGCAGTCACACTCAGCAACGTTGCCAGCATGCAGACTTCCGAATATTTGGCCCATCATCTTCTTGGTTTCGCTCGTGTTGTGTTGCTGTTTTCCGTCAGTTTGGTTGCTGCTTCTGGGTTCTGTCGCAGAATTTGACAACTGGAAGGAAACACACCATTGTATAATCAATAATCTTGTTCTTGATCAACAGATCCTTCAGTAAAGGTGCATGATTATCGCTTAAGTATCTGTGGTATTCGTCCTCGTCCATGCCTGACTTGCGATAGCCGCAGATGGTCAAGGCGAAGAGTTTTTTCGACATTGTGGTAATATTTCTCGGGTGTGACTCGGATGGTTTCACAAATATGAAAGGATTGGGTTGAGCCAGGAAAAGGTATAACACATTCCTTTAACACCTAACGTGGTTGACATCTACTTAGAAGCTTCATGGATACACTCAACATGTCCCAAGAGGTCACACATGCTGAGGATTTAGCTGCTGCTCTCTTCCTGGCAATCTTCCCCGTATTCCTAAGCATCTAACATCAGAAGGAATCACGAAGAGATCTTGGCGAGCTCCCTTTCCAACCTCTACCTTCCATGAGTCAGTCGGAGGTCGGTCTCCGCCGCTCTACCATACGAATGCCTAGCATTCCTACTCCGACTCTGGCTACAATGATGCAGGAAGCCCTCTTTCTACCCACCGGCATGTGCTCTCCGACCCTGGGACCTGTAAAAGTGGAAAGCCCTTCATCATGAGGTCGAAGGCTTCTACCCCGATAGTGTCCCTTTCAACACAAATCATATCTCTTCAAACACGTAATAGGCATTGAACGAAACTCAACTATCAAGCCAACCTAAATCTACAAAATGTCCTCCAAAAACAGCCCTCCAACAATAGATCTTAGGATACCCGACATGAGCCTACAGGATGGTCTTCACATTGACCCGCTCATTCTACTCGTACCAAGGTTGTATTGAGCTCGTATTGAAGAATAAGACAAATGGTGCGGTGCAAAATGCTCGCTCTCCGGGAGGCGGTCACATCATTCAGTAGGTAGACTCATGGGAAGTGAGTAAGGTATTATGATTGTCTGAGACGGCGATTGTCCCTTATCACCATGATATCCCAAGACGGTGTTCGGCCGCTCTCTCCTATATCCGACTAAGGTAGTTGCATCAGCGTGGCTCCCTCAGCCGTAACGGAGACTCCTCTGCATAAGGATTATTAGCGACCATCCGGAAGCCGATGGCCGAGCGTGCAAGCACCATTTTTTTGCCCCTGCACCATGCAACAGGGGGCCTGGTCCCGCATGCTGGTGTAACCTTACATGCGCAGGACCTATCCGCTGGCAGGCATCATAGCAAGCAGCATAGTAGGGGCGATCGAAAATCATAGAGTGCACATAATATTACATCAAGCTAGTGAAAATCATCTCGCAAATCAGGTGTAGGAGTTGAAAAGATGGTGCAGAAAAGCCACCCCATAGTGAGCAAAGCATCAATACCTAAGCATATTTATCAAGAGATCAATCAATTGCCACCCCCTTTCCCACTTTCATTCCACGTTCTCAAGTCGCAGCGACAGGGATATCCCTCTGCTCCTCCTCATCCCTCTTCATCTGCGCCTGCGCATGCTCACTAAGAGCCTCCTTGCCGTCGTGACCAGTCATAGGCCTGAATCCGTTCCTGAATACGGGGCTCTCCTTCACCTTCTGCCAGTCATGCAGCATGAGGCCGTTCTCCAACGAGCATTTGACCTCGTCACGTCCGCGAGGGACGAGTTCTTCATCGTAGGCAGTAATGGCATCCTTGATGGTTGCCTTGTTGGCACGTACGAGCTCAAGACCATCGAGGAGGTGAGAACTGTCACAGATGCAGTGGTTGAGGCCTTGACCACGATCTAGAAAAGAATTAGCTCATCATTCTCCGTTAAGGCCGAGAGGCAGTGCAACTGGGAGGAGACAACACTTACAGGGTGGCATGGGATGCGCAGCATCTCCTACAAGGGTGACTCTACCTCCACGGTTGTCCCACGGTTGCGTGATCCAATAGCTGATGTCTGCCTTGTGGACCAGGGTGTCCTCGGGGATCCACGTGAATGCTGATCGAGCAGGCTCGCCCATACCTTGTGCACGTTCCTTAATGATGGCAAGACGCTCTTCGTAGCTGAGTGAGTGCTCCGGGTCACCCAGCCAGGCCATGGCGAGATGAAACAACCATGTTTCTGGATGGTCTTGACCATCAGGCATGCTAGAGACTGTGACTAGTGTGAGTCTCGTACTCCATTGGGGCAAAGCAGGATATTTGCCTCACTCGACTGAAAAGCGTGGTGCGACTTCTGGCTCAGAGCCAAATAGCTCGTTGGAAACCGTTGTCTCAGATACTTTGCCTTATCCACATCTCGATAGCAAACAGTCATATTGTGATGACAGATCGGAAACTTGCTGACTTGCGCTGCCTCTGCTCCAGACATGGCGAATTCTCGAACTTTCGAGCGTGGGCCATCGGCGCCAAGAAGTACAGAGCCTTGGGCGATCGTGCCGTCGCTAAACGAGGCGAACACAAGGTCACCCTTCTCGCTGAACGCAAGATCCGTAAGGTTCTTGCCGTACTGGAGAGGATAAAGATATAGTCAGTTTAGATAATATCTTACTTTGGAATCATGATTACTTGGCTGATGCAATCGACAGGGACAAGCCACTTACCTGGACATCAATTCCTTCAGCACACAAAGCGCGCATTTTGCTCCTGGGAACGCGGAATCCCCTGGCGTACGGCACGCCGGCAAGCAGATCCCCGGTCTCGGCATTGATGATTGGGTAATTACCACCAGCTTCTATGGGAACGTTGGGATTGCAAGAAATCTCTGAGAGCTTAGCGAAGAGTCGCTTGGGGAGGAGCTTCTCGAGATGGTCGAGGGACCAGTGAATGGCCATAGTCCATTCGTTGCTACGATAGTTGAGTTTTGTCTCCTTTTCGAAGATTGTATAGCGAAATCCATGCTGATAGGTATATTTTAGCAGATATTCCTAATGGAAGTGGGTAGGAAGACATGCCTTTTGGAGAGCCTGGGCGAGTATCAAGCCAGTAATACCTGACGAACTCAGAATCGCGCAGAAAGCCGAACTCTGACAACAGAACTCACCTGCTCCAATGATGAGGACATGCATGCCCTTGGTTACATTCTGGTCGGCCATTGACGCAGTGCTTGTCTCAGGAATCGGGTGGTAGAGAAATCAGAAGGGCTATTGGTGAAGGTGTAATAACTTTTGAGACTGAGATGTTCAAAAGCTCAATACTCGTCTCAATAAAATATGTGTTCCGCCCTCAGGTAATGCTGTAATTTTTCTGGGACTGCTACGAGCCCCGAACAAGTGGACATGCGGACGAAATTAGTACGCAGATCAAACCTTCGTCGGCAACGCACCTCCCCAGGCACCAACATACTTCTATATTTTCCCTTTGGGTGGTCATGTAACACGGTTCCCGAGCAGCAGATTCTTAGATTGTTTAGAATTCTCTCCTCGCACCCGAACTTCCGATGCAGTGAACAAATAGAAGACCGCACGAGCGTGAACCAAAAGCAGCTCTGGGCAGCCTGGTTCGGAAACATAGAGGATCGGAAGCGTTATTGTTCATTATGCAATACTCACTCATGGGACGATACCGTATCGCAGGGTGCTCAATCCGGTGTTGCAAACCCATTTTTGTGGCATTTGATGGTATGATTCACTGTATTTTCAAGTTACGCCCGATAGCTGAGTTTGCAACGCCAAATTGTTATGGGGCTCGGGAGCCGGGGTAGAAGTATGTGTGTACGGGCAGACTATTGAGACCAAACAGTCAGTTAAATTTCAACTCCATAGCACCATGTATGTTGGTTTTGTCATTGCGTCATCCACAGACCAGAAAGCACAAATTCAATGGCTAACCGGCTATTGATATAATACTTGAAACAGTGTGGTGGATGTTGGTTTTACCGCTGCACCCTTACCTGAACTTTTTTAACGAATAGAAAGGTTTAGATTAAGAAGAAATTCAGCAAGTCTGAGGGATGAAAATATAAACCTGTAGCCTCGTTATGGAATGTTATAAGAGAGGTGTTAATAGCTCTATTACAAGAGTATATGGAGGATGGTAACAACTTGTTGATCCTCTGAGAGGGCCTATTGGCCGCGTTTCATATGCTTCTAATTGGTCAATCTACGCCGCAATTTCGCTTCTAATTTCGCTGTACAGTACAGCCAGTTGTACTTAGATCTACGCTCTCTACCCCTGTAGCTATCAACCATCTTGCTTCTCTACGCACTCTGCACAGCAGGTTCACACAACTCATTACAGCAAGCGGTACTACTTACGACTACTGACTCGAACATCATGGCAGGTTATTATATACAATCAACCATGTTCGACTACCATTCCACAAATCCTGGCAGAGAAAGATCAATATCTATCATCTTACCCCAGTGCTATCTGCGACGTGGGCTTCCGTCTCGGAGCTTTCAAAATTGTGATTTCTGGGCCGGGCTCCGGCTCCTGGTGTTAGCATTCTTCCTCGCAAAGACAATGGACTATGTAGGTATGGGAAGGTCACTCGCAGCCGATCCGGGTCCTTTATCACGAGTTCTCACTGCTGCGATTACCTCAAGTCTTTTTTAGAGCCCTTATGAGCCACAATGACTACATTTGTAGAATCATCCATCTCGCCGCTTTTCGGGCTGTGGCAGCCTCTTCCCCACTTGAAACATCTCTATTATGGTTCGTCTTGCGTTCAAAAGCATCTATTCGCGACTCTCCCTTCACACGATTCGAAAGTTTTCATCGTCACAGGAAATTCTATCGCGACCAAGACTCCTCTTCTTCAACAAGTCGAGACTTTACTCGGAGATCACCATGCGGGAACATTCACCAAAATCAGACAACATGCGCCAATGGCCGATATTGACCAAGCCACGGAGATCATCGCCAAAAATCCGTTGGTTGATACTATCTTATCGTTGGGAGGTGGATCTCCCATCGATTCCGCAAAAACAATATCATTCCGCATGCATGAGAGAAATGGCAAATTCCTGACACATCTCACGATCCCTACGACGCTGAGTGCTGCTGAGTGCACGATAGGCGGCGGCTACACGAAAGCAGACGGTGTCAAGACTTCAGTAATGACGCCCGAAATTGGTGTGACTGCAGTATTTTACGACCCGGGCTATGCCAAATATACTCCGTTGAAGCTATGGCTATCGACTGGTATGCGTGCTATGGACCACGCCGTGGAATCACAATATCAGCCATACGCGTCAGAGATGCCATGGAGGGCAATGTCGTCTTGGGCAGTGTCCACCTTCTTTGAATGTCTACCAATAGCCAAGGCATCTCATCCCAGCGACGAAGACGTTATAACGAGATTACTACTTGCTGCGTTTGCCAGCTTGGGCTTCCGCGGTAAGAATGTAAGGGGGGGGATGGGATTGTCGCACACCATGGGACATGCTTTGGGTAGTCCGTACGGAATCCCTCGTAAGAGCCCTCGATCTCCTTTTCTACAATGGCAGTGCTAGCCACTTTGTATCTGATGCCAAGAATCTCTTTGGCACTTGGTAGTAACCGAAATTGGGCGAAGCCCCTAACCGTTGTTCAAATCATTGCTTGTCAAGGCAATCAGAACGCTAACATAAGGACAGATGGAGAGACTAGCTGCCTCACTCTCGGTCCCGTGGTCCAGCTTAAGGCGCGGGCCAAGCAAGAGGACGCAAAACAAATTGCAAGACTCCTGCCTTGGATTGGCGGGACGTCGAGCGGTGATGATCTCAAAGATGCTTTGGAGGTCGGATGCAAGATCAGTGCGTTAGTAGAGAGCCTGGGATTACATCAAAGCCTTACAGAGAGGGGTATTGGCAGAGACCAGATTCCAATCGTGGTGGAACGGGCTACTGGTGGTTTGAAAGAAGGCTCACTATATGACATCGTCACGCTTTTGGTCGAGGGTTTATACTAACAGGCGGGACTTCATGGTCCCTGCATAAATTGCCCATGACGAAAAGATGCATCTTTAGCATCTTCTTCACCATTTGGTTCACCCCTTCCGTGTGATTTACGCCCTTTCATCCACTCCTATTGGCAGTGGATATTAAGCTGGTCGAATTGTCCCCATGACATTGTGAGAGACGCCCTTCATCAAGAACCGTTCCTTTCAAGAGCAGAGTCCAGTTGCTTTCTGAAGATTCTAGTCAAACAGAATACCCATCGGCTCCCTAACCTTCGTCGACGCATGAAGCCGTGCTCACTTTTGTTCTTCCGTTTTCTAGAAGCCGTATATTACAGCAAATCTTCGAATCGTGCGAGGAGCTCTTCATCCTTCGTAAAATGGCTGAGCAGAAACCTCCATGTCAGAAATCATACCTCCTTTCGCAACTGAAGTCTCTTAGTTAGCGTACGCCTTTTTCCTTAGTCGGTTTTCACAACCTCCCCACAAATTTTCCCATGTACATCTGCACTCTTACTGTCTCTCCATTCATCGGTCTTAGGGAAGTAGGTCCATTCCCTATAGGGCTGTATTCTGAGTAGTACGCAAGACTGTTTCTAGGCTCTCCTTCTCCACGAAGCATGAATAGTTGCTTTATATCTCTCATTGGATCAATCAAGCCAACAATCATCTCAATACTTTACAATATTTACCTCTACACCATACGATCTCTCAAGCTACTACAACCCTCCTTCAAAGATAGTCCTCAAGCGAACCCTTGCACCATCGCATCTCGGGCCATCAAATCTCCAGAAGAAGATCTTTTATCACAGCACCCATAAACACCCATCCATTCGAAACGAAAACTATGACTCTAGCCCCCCATTGCCTTGAGTCAGGCCCCATTATGATCCCACATTGATATCAAGCATCCTTGCAGCCGTCACCTTCGTATCCGACTTCCTTTCTTCTCACCCTCCTGAGATTCAGACAACCAACGTCGTTGGTACGTCTTCTGGTGAAGGAAATGTCTATCCTGGGTCCATAACGATGCCTAAATTTTCAAACCGACGAAGAACCGAACAAGAACCGGAGTAGTGTCAGGAACAACGGGGTAGCAGCTTCTTTCATTCTTCAACGAATTGTTCCGGACTCCAGCAGTGGCCGATACAACCTTGGACCGCTCTTCTCCGTCATCGAGAAAAGCGGGTGAGGGGCTGGGGAAGTCGGGCTCAGTAACGGTCAGCTGCGGATGCGAGTTCGCGTCGCTGCACATGCCGTGGCTATTTCTGAAAGAGGGCAATGCGAATATATTTCTTCTGGGCTGTGGGGTTGGGATGAGGCGTCGTCGCCGTCATCATTATAATTCATCTAGAGTCGACTAGAACCAAAAGGGGGAATGAGATTGTATTCTGCAATTCCCCAATTAGGAAATGATCATAAATGTTCAGCTTACTGCAATCTATGGCCCGTCATGCATTAATCCTTCCTTCCCACGGGTACAGAACTCCTCCATAGCCAATTGCTCATCTGTTTAAGCTTGGTCACGACAGACGCCCAAATGCCTCGCCGGCAGGCTTTTCCAGAAGAACCCCTGTTCTTAATTTGCAAGCACCCACTTAATCTCCCAAAGACCCCTATAAGCATGACTCGTAAAGGCCGTCCACCCCCTAACCACAAAATGCGGACTCACCGCCTCGAACAACTGCCTCCAATCCCCCTCCGTCCTCTGCTTCGCATTATGCATTGTCATCACCGTGATGTCGCGTCTGCGATATGCTTTCTCGGTCTGGGCGTCAAATTCGCCGCGGGCGGGTGACAACATATCGTTGACCAGAATGACGGTTTCTGGCGAGGCTTCGAGAACGGGGATGAAGGTGCGGAGGAGGGTGATGGCGTCCGAGTCAGAGAGGTTCCAGAGGACGTTGCGGAGGATGAAGGCGAGGGTTTGGTTGTCTGGGGAGGAGGGGGCGGGTTGCGGGGTGAAGATCTCGCGCTTGGTGTAGGTGATTCGGGGTTGGAGGTCTGGTGGGAGGGATTTTTGGCCTTGGGTGAGGAGTTGTTCCGAATTGTCTTGGACTTCGACGGAGATGTCGGGATATTGCTCTGCTAGATACTGGTAGACGTGCCCGTCTCTAGCGCCAATGTATACAACCAGGTTGCGGTGCTTGTTTCGCTTGTTGCTATTGAACCAGTCGCAGAAAAGACCATTTCCTGGGTCGAGAGCTTTTGAACAAAATGAATTTATCAGTGTACAGTGAAGGGATTTGAAGAAGACGTTTTGATTTCAGAACTTACATTGAGTGACACCCTGCATTGCCAGGTTAAAACGGGCGAATTTCTCCGGATGGGCTTTGTGCCAGTCATACATAGAAGCTCCCCAGCTGAGTTCGGGTGTATTAGTCTCTGTTGAGTGGAAGTTTGAGAAAGAACATGAACTTACGCGTGTTTGAAAGCCGACGACCCAGTTTGAAAGTCGTTGCGATGCTTGAGTGAGTCGGCCAAATGCGCGCTTGCAACACGTGTCTCAAACAACCTGTCAGCAGTGAATTGATTATCAGCTTGTGGTTGGTGTGACTGCTTGATAGACGTTGCATACTGGAATCCAACCCATGCCTTCATCTTCTTGTTCCTCACCAATTCCTCGGATATCACAGTATGGCGGAAGACCTGTTCGGAGGTCTCTTCCAAGATTTGCTCGCAGGCGACCAACCGTAATATACGCAGAAGCTTGTTCTCAGGTAAGCCGGACAGCATAGCCAGCTCTGATACGTGGACCTCTCCATCAAGCGGGATCTTTTCGAGGATGTCGAATTCGAGAACTGTGTACAGAGCACCGTATTCCCAGTTCGAGGAAACATACTCATGCAGGAATCCGTGTGGTCCATAGAGGAGTTTTGTGAGCTTCTGGGTTAAGTCGAGGATGCTGGTCTGAGCTGTAGCGATTTCTGTCGTGTGGGACGACCATAGCTCAGTGTAGGCTCCAACGGCAAGAGAAGGTTCTTTGATGGATTTCTCCTTCATGAACTTTTCCAACTGGTAAGTTTGACCAAAGATTTCCCCAGCGAGGGTGAGCATCGTGGCAGTATTGGCTTCTCGCGCCATTGTTGTGGTCTGCTTGGAACCCGATCAATTGGAACTCTTGTGATTTTGAGGGGAGTTATTTTTGCATAGGTAGCATGGACCTCGAAGACATAGCTTACACTACTCAGCAATGATTCTCAGTCGTAGCAATGTTAAACACCTGTACTTGATCACAACTATCCTGGAGTACTGCATCCGAATACTCGAGATGTGGTCAACCAAGTTCGGCTTCCGAGCATGGTGCACAAACCGCCCACAAGGATGCTGACATTCGCGTCCAACTCAACTGACATAAGTCATATTCTTTGTAGTTCATTCTTCACATTGAACCATAACATAAAGAAGACGCTCACCATGAGGCGATATTTTGTTATGAAAACCCCTCTTTTCCAACTGCCCCTTGGGGCTAGACGCTTTGGAAGGCCATGATACTTACTTTATTGCCCATTGCAAAACTGTTGCGACTCCTCCGCACCCCAAATCTGCTGCTGGCTGCCCTCAGCCATTGATACTGAATCCTTCGTTATGCGGTTAAATGTACTTAAATCTGTATAATTCAGTAGCTTTCAATAGTACTTGTAGAGTTTCGATGGAGTAGGTAAAGTTTTAAGTATATAAGAATTACCACTAGTATTTAAGAAAGAGTCTCACATAGTTAAAGTTTATCCTGGTGGAATCAATAGGAGCTCTGTTAAGTACGGATTGATTTAGATATTACATCATTTTGTAGCTCTGTAGCCATTTGAGTAGAACAGATCGGAGGAACAGCAGCAGCTCCGAAGCATCCGCCAAGGATTCGCAACACTTTTGCAATGGGCAATAATTTATTGAGATTTGTTGGACCAAGAGACCGCGGCCCTTGGCGGACCGATGAAGTACTAGCTTATGTCTGACAAGATTTTTTTCATACGAATAGAACTGATCTCTCAGAGGAAACAAGATAAATGAAGCGTTGGAGCTTCTCTATATAAACAGTCTTCCAGTATTAGCCATGATATCTTCCTCATCTAAATTGTGACCACCAATTTTGTCGCACTCACACCAGCCTTCAATTCCTCTAATCCAGGTCCAATAGCCTCAAACCCGCTTCCCACATTCTTTACCTGAATGGGGATTTTGTAGTCCCCTTTCCTTACCAAGTCTGCCAAAGCAGTCATCACGTTTTGTCCTCCCGGTGTCTCGAATAACTTCCGCCCATATACAACGTGTCTCTTGACTCCATCCGGTACCAGGGTCGGTGTCCCGGTGAACACTTCCGAGTACTCCTTCGGTCCATCTGCACTGAGGGTATCGAAGATATCCTTCTGCGAAGCACTGCTGGCAACTGCATCAAGGATCATTTCTACGCCCTTGCCTTCTGGTGTTGCAGATTTGATGTCCTCGATCAAAGATGGAGACTTCTGGTCAAAAGCTTGGGTTGCGCCAAGAGATTCCAGGTAGACGTGATGCTTGGAGGAGCTCGTCGTAAGGATGGTAGCCGAGGGAAGCGCAAGGCGCAATATCTGGATTGCGGAAGCACCAACACCAGAGCTGCCGCCAAGGACGAGGATGGACTTCGGCTGTGGGCCGCTAGTTGTACCGTCTGGGAGAAACGGGAGAGGGATCTGTAGGCCGTAGTAGATGGCGGAGCCAGCGGTGCAGTAACAGATGCTGGAATCATGTGTTAGGGCTACCAATCGACGAATCGAGGACTTTCAATGTCCCTTGCCCCGGCTTATCAAACGAGAATATGAAAGAGAAGGAAGAAGAGAAAAATTCTCGTACGGTAGTGATGCTGCCTCCTCGAAGCTTATGTTTCCCGGCTTCTTAGCAACGTAGTGTTCTGGCACAACGGCAACCTCCTGGAAAGAAGCAGCCTTCGTCTCATGCCCAAATAGACTGAAAACCTCGTCCCCGGTTTTGTATCTAGTGATGCCCTCTCCAACAGCTTCCACAATCCCGGCGCCGTCGATGCCCAACACGGTCGGCCAGCTCTCGACCATGGCGCCAAAGTACAGTTTCTTCCAATCTAACGGATTCAAAGCAACCGCTTCCATCCGGATAGAGACTTCATTGTGTCCCGGGGTAGGTTTGGGAACTGACACGACGGCGAAGGGCCCCCCTTTTCCAATGGCTTGGTATTGAGTAGTTGTCAATTGCATGATTGAGAGGTTCCCCGATTGCCGGAAGGGCTCTGGATTATTTGGAAGGAATATCTGGGATCTAGCTCTTTTTGACAACAGACCAGGGCGTTATTCTTCCTTGAAATGATTGCGTACTTCTAATTAGTCCTGATACAACGTGTAAGCCTTGGGTTTCAAAGTGCTCTTAATCAGCTATTGCTACTCACGGACATTGAGCCACTCAAGAGCATATTGGTAACCTCAATAAGAGATTCAGAGATCTTGGTTCCAAAGAGCCTTGCTTGTAATGAGAGCTGTATAAGCCAACATAGAACAACCAGCACTCGTGCCGTACTGGAGGGTCGAGGATGACTAAGCAGATCGCGCGTTCCCATATCCAGTCAGCAAAGCTATTCGGGAGCCGAAGTGGTCACGACGGCACAACACATTTTGCATGCCACCGATTACCCTGCATAGCAACATTAGACATGCTGGGTGTACACTAATCAGAAGGAGACCGGGATGGTGGTCTGCGCATGCTTGCATATACGGGGATGTCTCAGAGAGTGCTTTCAGGTCTTCGGAAATGATCATATTAAATATTACCTTCTCGGGGCCCGGGCTTGAGACTTACGATGAATGGGAACCGGCCATAATATGTAAATATCGAATCTGGTGTCTAAACAATCAGTCAGTAGCTTTGCATCTTCATAATTGTCTAGCTTAGTAGCTTGAGCTCAATCACTAGCCGAACGAAATGGATAAAAGATCGAAAGAGTACGCTAAAACACTTCACATCAACCACTGCAATCCAGATAACATACCATGGCGGTCGTTGGGACAATGTGAGAGTCCACCAGCTTTTACTGACAATTTGTGCTGATTTTCCTACGGACAAGTACCGAGTGCTAGAAGACGGCTCCACCACCCAATACCGTATTTGCATTATCGAAAGCTTGCTTCCTCCTCGGAGTGCTGGACCAGTGTTTCATTTCCACGAGATGCATGACGAAGGCTTCCTTGTCAAGGCAGGCGACCTTTGTCCCGATCCCAGTCTGCTATGCTAACGCTGTTTCCTTGAAACTTGCAGACTGGTCGCGTTCGCTTCCATTAGCCTGGAAAGCCGCATATCGACGCAAAAGCAGGAGATTTGGTCACGATACCGATCCGTTTGCCGCATAAATTTAGCAATCCTTTCGACGAGGAAGCTATATTTGTGAACACGATTACACCTGGGTTCTTTGTAAGATATTTTGAGCATCTAGAAGAGTTAATCGGAGACGGAGTAGAGCTTACAGAAGAGGTCAATCGAGCCGCACTGATGAGGTTCGCCACGGTTCCTCTAAATAATGATGAGGTGACCAAGTTGGAGTCATTTTTTGGATACAGCGAGGGGGAGCATGTTCGTGAGAATGATGAGGTCTAAGAGACAAATGGAATCAAGGAGATGGACGGGGCGGTAAAAAGCAACGGAGTAAGCGTTGAAGGTTAGAATGTCAAAAAGGGGACTGGATTTGAAACCTCGAGAGGAGTCATTGTTGACATCCTTTGATATCGAGTAGAATAGAAATGGCATTGGCTTCAGGCTTTGCTGGTAACATTAATGCCATGGAATTCATCCGATCTGCTGATTGCGGATACTGCTTCAGTTTCAGAACTTGAGAGTACTCGCCACATACAGGAGGCGAAGTGCCCGCGATGCACAGAATTCCTGGTAGATGCGCCAGAATATCGAAAGCCACGTTGTGATTCTTACCTCACATTTTCCTGGTGTGGAATGACATCTTGTTCCTATCACTGGTTATTGCTGTTGCAGAGAATTTCTTGTTGCAAAAACACTAAGCAGTATGTCCATTTGATTTTGAAACAATCAGGGTTACTTTGATGAAAAGATAAAAGACTTAGCGGACTCTTTTTGTGAGATGAAAATCCTTGACAGTCCTAATAAAACACTGCCTACTACTTACCAGGAGAATAGGTAATAAAAAGTGTGGGCTAAGTGCCGTTAGTAGGAATGGCAACCATTCTGTCAAATAAGGACCATATTAGTATGATCAGAGAGGCATATTTTGACTATAATAAGACCATATTTTTGACAAATAACGTTGTAAATGATGAAATCTTATTGGCTTACAGATGTCTTAGCTGCATATCCTGGTACACTCTAAGCAATCTTACGGTTAGGCTAACTCTAAGCGCACTTTAGCAGCTCTCTTATCATTTTTTAAAGTGGGCTTCTTCCTGCTAAGTAGTACAGTACTAGTGCAAAAGTATCCGGACAACCCCACCTTCACACCCCACCAACATTTTGGACCATATCCATACAAATTACTATAGTAAGTTACCAACTTGATGGATTCTAATAAAGAATAGCTCAAAATGTTCAGAAACATCCAGAGATTGAGGCTAGGCTAATTTCCTAAATAGGTAGTCGATATGGTGTACCATTCTTTGGCTGCAATGACTGTATTCACTTGACTATCTATACTCTTGATAAGATTAGCCATAGCTTCTTCTTTTATAGCATCCCAACCCTTATAAATAGCTTTGAATAATCATTAATAATCCTCCTCTAATTTGTCTATATTAATTAGCTCTAGGTAATAATTATTAATTTATTGCTTAAGTTATGCCTAAAGGTGTTTAATTAGGTTGAGATTAGGACTATAGGCTAGCTATTCCATTAGCTCTATACTCTTCTCTTAAAGCTAATTAATAATCTTTTTTATAGTATAGATTTAAGTATTATCTTACATAAATTTACGCCCTAGTTTATATATCTAAGGCATCTGCTTACGAAGCACTATTAAATAAGAGTTAGCAGTATATCTTGACTTCTTTAAATTAGGATCACGCTCTAATAACATAATATCTGAATAACCTTCTTTATAAATTACACCCTATATTATAACATTAATATTTTTGCCCTTCTTATATATATTAATTATATTAGTATTCTAATATTATTATAATATACAAAAGGCCTATGTTCAATGCGCTTTACTACCTTTTTTAAGCAAATATTTATTACTAAATATAATCTTGCTCCACTCAGCCCACGTCTAATTTTGTTATTCTTTATACTATACGGAGGCGTGCCCCAAAAGTAGTTGAATACCGCTAATATTAGCGCCGGAGGCTATCAAAGACTAGCTGTTCTAGCGCTCATACTAAATTGTATGTGACTTAGAACAGGATTACTCCTCATCGCTCTCAACGTCAGAATAGCCCTCATCGTCGCTATTCTCACGATCCTCTGCTTGGTGTTGAGTATTTCTATCAATAAATTGCAGTTTTGATAGCTTGCCCTTGACCCTAGTGCCTGCCCAGCTGCGTTTAAAGCCTCGAACGCCCTCCTTATACTCATTACCCCCTTTGAGCCGTATAACCTCTTTGATATGATAGGGTATAGCTGAAATCCATCGTTGTATCTGCTCTTGTGGCAGATCTTCCCATGCTTTATACCAAGCGCGTTCCATAGCCTTACGATGCGTAGACGTACCAAGGGCAGTAGTCCTGCATTTCAACCAATACTAAGCAGGCTCAGAAGCATTCAAATCAGGAGAATTGCCAGGCTATAATAGACGCATAATCTTGTGGAGCTCATAAACAGTATCTTGATAATGATAAGCGTGCGAAGGAGTATTATCTTCTTATACAAGGGTATTTAGTTAATCCTTTTGACATTCTTTTGCAAAGGGTATAAGCTTTAAGAGAAGGATATGCTTCTAATACTTATTTACTAGTTAATAAAGCTCTTAAAAAGACATAGAATAATATACTTATACTAATTAATACCCCTTGCTTTGCTCTCTTAAACAAACTTACTATTCGCTTTTATAAATCTTTATTATAGCTTCTTCCCTAGAGATTATCAACAAAGATTAATACGCTATATATCATTTTTAATCTCTTATAACATCTTTAACTCAGGTTTAAGAGTTATATTTAACTTCTCTAACTCTTTATTAGCCTCTTTATATTTAGTAGCAATTTCTTTTGTCTAGATATAATAAGGACCCTTTTTATCTTAACTAAAATAGCCTTAAAACATAAACTCTGAGTATCCCTTTTATCTCTATCAAATATAGCTATTTTTATATATCTCTTTAATATCTTGCTAAATTTATATTACTCCTCTTTATTAACCTAGAATAACAGAGATCTTATTACTCTAAATTACACGCTTTTAGTCCTCTAAAGTCTAATGTTTATAATTAAAGCAGAAAGTAAGGCGAGCAACTTAATAAATAAAAGATAATCTAGGTTTATATATTAGTTTAATATTTGTAAGGCTATATTTATACAGAATTTAAAGAGTACTTGATCAACTAATTCTATACTTATAAGTAAGAACTTTACTTAATTTCTTATAACTAGCATAATCTAATTTAACACTATTAAGTAGACGTTATTCTATCTTTAAAGAGACTTCTTTTAGCCTGCCAAAGCGCTTTCTATCTTATACATAATCATCTAAAATACAAGGATCTTCATCAGGACGAAATCCACATTTATATACTCTTTTTTTAATATAACATTACGTTAAACGTTTCACTCTAGTTTTCGCTTCAATATCAACTGGTGAGAATCCTTCTACTATCAATGTAAGGCACTGAACTCGTTGAGCAATAGTATATCGATGACCATAGTCAATTGAACTCTGCGGAAGCGAACGAGCAACAGGGACATTTCGACGGCGGTGAAGAGGAGGAGGAGGAGGAGGAGCAGGAGCAGGAGCAGGAGGCGGCGGAGGCGGCGGAGGAGAGGTATTTCGAGTAGAAGGAGATCCACGGCCACGTTGTACGTGCGCTCGAACATTTGCAGAGGCCATAGAGAGCTATAGAGTAATATCTATCGAATTCGCTATCAAAGTCGGTATAGAATTCGTTATTGAATTTGCTGTTGAATGTGTACTTCGTGTGCTTTCTAACTGTCATAGGCAGCTCTTAGGGCTCACCTAGGCGCCACCCAAATTAGTATGTGTACTAAGTGCGAGCTAAGCAGCGCTTGTGAAACGCTAATATTAGCGGTATTCA